TGTGACAGGAGGAGTCAGGACTCAGCTGTCCCCGTGGACATCCATGCTGCCCATGGCCGCATGATGTTGACTTGGCTTCAAGCACCCCTATATTCCCTCCCTCCTGCACACATCACTGAGGTCTGGCAGCATAAGGAGGCGGGTACATGTGGCTGATGGGTGTCAAGGACTGAAAACAAAACGGGAAGATCCCTTCACAAAAAAACACAAGTGGAATACACACGCAAGTCATTAATAGTTCAGGCTGAACACAGGTTTGCCTAAATCCTTGTCAACCTCTAGTTTTTGTGAAGTTTGCTTCCTTCTTCTAATTTCCAACAACCACCAAAAATCTTCTGAGGTTTGGTGCTGCAAACAATTACACATCAGTAACTTCAGCTGCACAGAGCGCAACTGCAGCTAGCAAGGCAATCTCAGTGGCTACAATAACCTGCAAGAGCAAAAGTGAGCATAGAATTGCTTCTTGATGTGGTTTTCTCCTTCTCCACTATAAACAAATACATCTCCGGCTCTCACTCACTACTGCCAACCCAGTACCTCCTAGCATTTTCAATGGGTGCTCCAAAAGTATCACATTAAAGACAAAATTAAAAAGTAAAATAAATGTTAGAATTGCCATTCTTTTCTTCCCCCCCCCCACACACACACTTCTTACATTCTTAGCATCTCCTTTAGTTATTTTTGCTCTATTTTCTTCCACAGCCATTTAAAAACCTTCATGAAAGCAGAGAACCTCATGCCACCAAAGTACAAGAACTGAGTCATTAGAAGGGGATTCAGGTTCACAAACCTAACAACAACTATGTGACCCCCACCCCCTGCAAACAGCAAAAACAACAAAACCACATCACACTGACAGAGCATTATAAACCTGTTGGGACTGTGGCAATTTGGCTATAAGGAGAAAGCCAGTACTAGAGAAGAGAGACAAAAGAAGGAACAGAACAATGCACAGATTGAATGTTGCAACTAAGACCAGGAGGGACAGTTTTCATATCGTAATTAAAAACAGAGGAAAAGGGAAAGACTTTTTTCTTTTGGGGCCAGAAGGGGTAAGAAAGGTTTAAGGAAGTTTAATTTTGATTTTAAGTGAGCAAAAACAAGCAAAAAAATACCATTCTTACTGGTTTCATTTAATAAAAGTTCAAGCTGTAAAATACTGAGAGTTTGGACACATGCTTGGAACACTGTTAAGAGCACCGCCGTTGTCTGCCAGGGCTGCAGGGTACAGCTGGATGTCACAACAAAGCCATTCTGTCTGCCTGCTGCAGCCAAGGACAATCAGTCCCACTCCTTCAGCCATAAGTTGTCTTCACCTTCGCCCTCTTCCCCCTCCGCAGTCATCTCTCCTTTTTTCCATTGCATTAGTTAAGGCAGGAGAGAGAGAAGGGGTGTCTGAAACATGCCAACACAGGGCAGACAAGCACCAGAACAGATGCAGGAGACAGAATGGCATGTGCAAGATTTTCTTTTCAGCAGCAGTGGACATGAGATCAGCTTAGTAAGATGTTGGTAGACACCTAAAGTTTGCATAGAAACTTCATGGAGTATAAAATTAAACAGCATTAAATATAAAACCCCATTGGCTCACAAAGTTCCTGAGCCACAAAATGCTGGAGGATGGCACACCACTTAGAAATCTCTCTGGACACTTGCCTTTTTCTTGTAACTCCTTTCCCAAACATCTGCTTTTAGCCTCTGTTCAAGACAGAGCAAGACCAGCCCTCAGCATTCTTACATTCCTAATTACACGGCCACACCAAACCCTGAAGCTGTGCACACAGCAAACTCGTGTAATGCAGCACAAAGTCAAACCAAGCTACACCCCCCATGCCTATGCATTCATCCACTCCTGCGCTTCCCCAAGCCACGAACCAGTATGCCAATACAGACAATCCATTCAGGAAACTGATTGTGTGTCATTTTCTTCTTTTTATTTTTTTTTTTTTTTTAACCTGGCTTAAGATGAACCTCAACTGGCTGCCCCATGTCGTAGTTTAAACTCAGTCGGCAACTAAGCACCACACAGCAGCTTGCTCACTCTTGCCCCGGGACCCCCGTGGGATGGGGGAGAGAATTGGAAGAGCAAAAGTAAGAAAACTTGTGGGTTGAGATAAGAACAGTTTAATACTTGAAATAAATAATAATAATAATAATTTTAAAAAATTGTAATGGAAAGTAAAACAACAAGAGAGGGAAAGAAAAAAAAATTTGATGCAACCACTCACCACCCACCGACTGATGCCCAGTCAGTCCCCAAGCAGCAATCGCTGCCCCCCCGGCCAACTCCTCCCAGTTTACATACTGAGCATGACATCATATGGTATGGAATATCCCTTTGGCCAGTTTGGGTCACCTGTCCTGGCTGTGCCCCCTCCCAGCTTCTTGTGCACCTCATTGCTGGCAGAGTATGGGAAGCTGAAAAGTCCTTGACTTAGTATGAACACTGCTTAGCAACAACTAAAACATCAGTGTGTTATCACATTATTCTCATGCTAAATCCAAACCACAGCACTATGCCAGATACTAGGAAGAAAATTAACTCTATCCCAGCTGAAACCAGGACACCTCAACAGGGAAATGCAGTGCTTTGCTGTGTAAAGACATCTGTGCAAATGAGAGCACATGGGAACTATTTCTTCCTGGAACAGTTTCTGGGAAGTAAAACCACAGTACGTTACTCAAGACTGAAATAGTTTAAAAAAAAAAATATTTATCAGTTCTTAAAAGAATCCTAAGATTAGCAAAAATACAAACCGAGTAATACCTGTAAGCATCTATAGACAGGAAAAATTATTTTCCGTTAGTGCAGCACAGTAATTGTCCAACAGCTATGCTTTTACATAGTGGTTTTCTTATGCATAGGGAACAGTATAAAAAAATTAAAACATAATCCTGATTACCTTGGGAAACTATAAAAAAAATTATTAATGAGATTCAATCCAACCACACAGCACCAATGTAAAACAAGAGATTTTTGACCTTTTAGGCCCCTATTAGTTTGTACAGAAATAATCCTTTAATTTTCTACAATGGTGCCTTCTGAAGAAGCACCTGACCCTCTAAAACACAGCTTTGTTTAGAGAACTGTAGCCATTAGGCTTACAAAATTAGATAGACTATACTAAAGCACCACTGTATAATGAGCATATAGAAGGGAGAATGTTTTTGGCATGTACATCTGCCTACCAGGAACAGGTTTCCCTGACATCTCCTGCTATCCTCCTGCTCTGTGCTCAAGTCCTAGACATGACGGTAGAGTTGTTCCTCAGTACTCAGGAGCCAACAACCATTTCAGTAATATGCAGGGCCTGTAATACTTAGGTTCATTTTCCTCCAGTTTTAAGGCCCCTTTTTATTTTTATAATTATTATAATGTGAAAGTGACTGGAGCGGTGCCTAAATGTCCAGAAAATGCAAAGAGCCCAAAGGAAAGGCCACAAAAAGCCATAGGTTCACACAGTCCAAGGGCAGGACTTTTGACAGTGGCCAGTAGCAAAGTTAGAAGAGGATGCTGCAGAAGACCGCCAAAATGAGGTATTAGTCTGCTTTCTTAGGAGGGAGGAACTCTTATCTAAACCCCTTGTAGGTAGAGAATGTCGTCACCAGCACAGAATCAAGTCAAGCTGACTTGACTTAATCATCCCTGTGAGCTGACAGGGAAAACAAAAAAAACACCCTGAAAACAAATGCACACGTACTCCTAGCCTAATGTGTATTCAACTATGGACAACTCATTCCTTCCCCACCTCTTACTAGCTATAACCTGGTTACTGCTTTCACTTAAAGATGGCAGCTCTTAGATTCTGAGAGACAGAGACTACATCACTCAAACTCTAGCTGTGGATTTGTAAGACTACACTGGAGAAAGCAAACAAATTCTACAATTTACTGGGAAAGAATCACAGAACAGCTCATCCTTCTACAGCACAATGAACTGTAATAGTTACCTAGCAAGCACACAGAAAGAAACAACTGTAATGACCTCCACAAGTTAAAAAAAAAAAAAAAAACAAACAAAAAAACTCCTTCATCAGCTTTCACTGCAATGCTTTTAAAATTTCTGTGAATGCCCAAGCAATTCTGTCTCAGTAGTCTGCACACTTGCACTGCATTGCTTTAGGTTCACCTCTCTAAGTCTGGACAGTGATTGAGTGAAATTTGAGCACAGATTTGTTAACTTTCAAAAACACAACGAATTTGTTTTGTTTTTTTTTTCTGCATCCAAGAAGAGGAAGTTTATTTTAAATGCTAATCAAAACTCACCCCCAAGACCCCAAATCTTTCACAGAAGTTCCAACCACAGAGAAAGTCGATTTCAAAGTTGTGATTAAGGATTACGATGGCATTCTCCTTCCCATACTTGTGGTAACTCTCTGGGTCAGTGTAGAGGGTACAGTTGGTGCCTGACCACCATTCCAGCAACATCACCATCTCTGGAATAAAGAACAAGAAATACATGAATGTACAAAGTATATGCAAAGCCACAAATTAGTAACATGTTGAAAAGCATCAGTCACCTCAAGAGAGTATGGCAAAGAAAGGGCTGTGATGAAGTTGAAATGCTGAACATAAACCACAGAGTCACACATCTTGGTACAGCAAGGTGGGGGGACAGAGGAGAGAAGGTAAATAAGGAGATTGCATGGAAAGAGGGAGCAGGAATTTTCCACAGTGACATTGAGAAAAAGGAGTTTCATTTATTTGAAATCTGCAAATTCAATGCTACAAATTATTTTATCAAAATACATGTAAATTAGCATTTATGGTTTACAATAGTACAACAAAATTACATGAAGAACAGAACAAGCTTGTAGGAGAAACAAACAGACCTATTCCTGCCACATACAGGTCCTCATGCTCCTCTGAAACCTGCACAATCATAGACCAGAAAGCAGTTTGGACAAGACACCTGGAACCACATCTGTTATATGTACACCTTATGCATCGTCCTGCTACATATGCCCTGCTACAGCTGATGCAGTCTACATTTGACAGGGGTATATCAATCATCCAGAGCAAAGCCAATAGCTCAGACTGGATGAACAACATCCATCCCCAGACCAAAGACAAGGTGGGTGGCTGCCAAAGTGGACAGAGCCAAGAATACTTATTAATAGCATAACTATGTGCACATCCCTTAGTTGATGAACTGATGAAGCAAACGGGACAAAGGCAGCGGGGGAAACAGGGAAATCACTGTTAAATACCTCAAAATCACTCTGGATTGGCACCCAGATTTGTTCCCAAAACCTAACTGTAAGAAATGATACAAGGACTGGTAGGACAGTGAGGGCTCTTTAAAACACAGCTCTTCTTACAAGCTGGAGAGTGGTTTCTCAGCAGCCTCCTAGTGACTACCACACAGCTTTCACCTTCCTATTTGCTTATCCCATTATCAAGCACAGGCAAGAAGAAGTAGGCTTTGTATTTGTTTTGCTTGTAACTACAAGCCTGACCACAAGACTTGTGAATTAAACCTTTATTTAGCAAAGTGTCTCTGGTCTGGGGCATGGGAAGTTGAGGTGATTCAGTAAAGCCGACAAGCTTGGAGAGCTCTATCTCCATGGAGATGGAAAAGGAAAACCTAAAAGCAGTGGTTCTCCTCAAGCAACCCATGTCCTGAGTTGAGGGGACCATGGGACTAATTAGAGCTGTCTGTCAAGATGGAAAAGAAGAGGAGTTAAGGGACACATTTGCTTCCTGTCAAAGCTATCACAAAACTTCTGCACCAAAGCAAAGGTCTAATGTGAGGGGTTGTTCTTTGCTAAGTGAAACGTATCCCCTTCTCAGGGCATATCAGTGCCATATGAATGTCTGCTGGAAGGATGAGACACCTGAGATGCTCTCCTGGCTTCAGGCAAACCTGAAAGCACCACAAATCCTCGTTCACCTCAGGGAAGATCAAAACCAGGCCAGTCTTTGAAACACTTCTGAAATCCTTTCAATTTAGGTCCCCTACTGGCCTCAACTAGTGACTGAAAACAGAAAACAGCTAGGGACAAGTTGTCTACATTTTCAGTCATCATTAGCAAAATTAATTGCCCGACGCTTTTGGATGACATTGTGCTGTACACTGGAGAACAGGCATTAGTGACATGAATGAATTTTAACTAACAGTGTTACAGCCAGGCTAATAGACAATCTCTATTCATAACATTACCTTAATACGATAAAACCACGTTTATGGTACAGATAAATGACTGACTTGTCAGACCCCCTGCTTATTTCTAATCAGAGCTGGGTAGTAACTACTACCGTGCAGGAGTACATATTATTCAATGCATGCTTCTATGCATCAAAACAATAGTCAGAGATGTGGAGGGAGACCTAAACTGCCATATGTTAACTGAACAATGATTTCACTGCTTGGAAACCAATTTCCCAACGAAAGCCAAAGATGTTCACATCTCAGCGAGAGCGCTGTGGAGATATAGAAGTGTATACACAGCTGCGCTTCCAGACTTCCCCTGCTAAGAGCTGCTTTGTGACACACATTCACAATTTTACATCTTTCTAAGAGTGTAGCTTTCTATTAGATTTGTATTGGAAATAAAAGCCCTCCGCTCCCCAAAGCACAGCAAAATTGAGTAATAATTAGGAAAAAAAACCCACACTGTAATTTGCAAACCTTTACAGAATCTACAGTCACATCCTGGGGCGGAACATGATCACAGAAAAGAAAGGATGTTAGTGACAGCATTAGTTTGTCTTTTGCTTAACTACGAATCCAACTAAGAGAAGAAATGACTGCCAGATGGGATTTTCTCTTTTTTAACCTCTACTGCCATTAAACTTATTGCCTAAAACAAACAAGTAGAGATGATAACTGTGAGGCCGTCTTGAAGAAAAAGCCAACTTTACTTGAGAATAAAACAATTTCAAAGCCATCCCACTTCAAGTGTGTGTTTTCTATTTTGTCTTTTCCCAAGGCATTTGAACAAAACAAGTAATACATCACAAACCTCACTATTCAGGTGTGCCACATGCATACAGCTCTTTCTTCAGTTACATATTTTCAGTCTCAAATACATTCCAAAAAAGCATGGACAAAAAAATTTCTATATGTGGTTTGATTCTTCAGGCTTCACATAAGCAAGATTTTTGTTTGAATAAATACTGCAGAAATAGGTCCCTATTCCTCACCTCGCCTGCCCATTTGTCACTGATGTGGTCGAGCAGTTGCCGCAGAAACACAAAGCAGGCACTGAATGCCTCCATACTGAATACAACAAATACCATCTGCCAGCCTTTAAGTTCTTAACACGTTTCTTCCCCTCATCTTCCCTACTCTTTCTTTCCCCTTCTTCCCAGCCTCCTTTCTCTTTGTGGTTCTCAAGCAATGATAAGTACTGTCAGTTTGCGCTACTCTTGCATCATGCCACCAGCTTACTTCCACAACCTGCCACAGAAATTTATTACCCAGAAACTTGCTGTGGTGGCTCAGCAGCACAAGGTCACTTATATACACTCTCCTTCCCTCCTTCACAGTGTAGACCATCAGTGCAAGCTTCCTCCTCTTTGTACACCAGTCAGACTGTGTAACTAAAAATCAACTTATATAGGGGGAAAAAAGATTCTCTTGCTCCCAACCAGGGCTGGTCCAAGATTTCTAAGCCCTCTCCCCGGCCCCTTTTCATGAGGTTTTGGAGTTTGAACATCACAACTGAGCTGGTAAATACACATTCACCCACATCATGGGGGTTCCTACTTTGCAAAGCAAGTCCTCCAGTGACACTTCTGCACAATTAATGCAAAGGAAGGGGAAAAAACAAAAGAACTTGAAATCTCTCATCCCTGCTTTGAAGGCAAAGTCCTTGCAGTACGTTACAACTAGCTTCGGGAGAGGCTGATGATAATGAGAAAACATGCCTTCAAATGCCTAATACAGATACTCTGTCTGCTTAAGAATTTTGAGGTTTTCTACCCTTCTGGAATAACAAAAACCCTCACCCTGCTACACAGAATGGCCCCTACCTCCTGCGAGAGTAGACTGCTTCCTAGCCCTTCACTGCACAAATGTGAACTGCCTCAATGCCTGCACTTACAGAACAAATAACTAAAAACAAAACATCTCCAAGTCCGACCTGAACTATAACTAGTTATATGAAAAACATTTAAGGGAAGAAGGGAAACATGCAGACAGTTTACTGAGACTTGTTATTTTCCACCTCAAAGTTCTGCAAGAATGAGTCATTAAAACAGTGAACACTGTCCTTCTATAGAAGTTGTTAGTAACTCTTTTAGCTAACTATTCTTGATAAGCCATGGAAACATTTGCTTACAAGATTAACCATAAAATGCCTATTTGAAAATGCAACTAAAAGCATAGTTATGTATTGACTCAATAAGTACAACAATTTGAAGATCTCAAGTAACTACATAACCTGTTTTAAAGAGCAACAGAACTGTTTCCCTCTGACATTCTTCACTTTCTTTAATCTATGTATCAAGGCAACACCAAGAAAGAGAACTTAGAAAATTCTTATAGGAATATAGGGTAAAAGCATAGTAAGCTCTCAATACAAATAAAAAGTGAGACAAGTGGGCAAGCTGTGACCACCATTTCAAAGACCAGACAGGGTGAATGGCTGCGTGATGAATGAGTACGTTGCATAGAAGACCAGGGAAAGCATTTAAAAAAAAAAAAAAAATAAAAGTAAGGCTAAAGACAGACTGACAGACAGCGTAGTCCAGTCCATGTCTGCCTGTGGAAGGATGACTTACAATAATAACTTACTACCTTTCCAGATTTTCAGACTACATCTACTAGGTGTACCTCCTAAACATTTTCCAGAGAAAGAATTAAGTCTACAGGTAACTAAGAAAAACAAGTCTATTATCTTCTCTGGACTACTCAAAAGCCCTCTGTGTACCACAGACAGGGTTAAACCCCTGAATGATACTTACTATATTAAATGCAAAGCTGCCTACGAGGTTTTCAGAACACTTCCAAGTATTGATGACTCCACAGCCTCCTTACACAGGCTATTCTAGTGCTTCACTATGCCATCTAACTTGACCAGTCATTTATTTCCGGTCTCTACTCCCTTCTTCTCTGCAGGAGCTACAAGTAATTATGAAGAAAACTTAAAGGCAGGAGTTCTGCTGTAAGCTTGCGCTGATTAGGTACATGAAACAACTGGAGCTCAAAGCTGGAACATTATTACACATCTACAAGAAAAATTTTTAAAATAACTCATTACTATAAAACAGCATATACGTATTTCCTGTGAGGGGAACAAAAAGCTAGTTCTTGGGAAAACCACCTGCAGCTGGAAAGTCAAGGAGGATCCCTCATCATTCACGGATCCCAGCCAGACAAGGTATCAGCTCTCCACCTTCAAGCAGGTTCCCTCCCATTCTTTACTCTGCATGAGCAACACATGCAGGTGTGCGTGTGAGCACCAGTGAGATGTAATGGAGTAATCTGGTC